TCAAGAAACTCACTCAACAGAAGAGAATTATAAACTGAAATTTTTGGATTAAAACTTATGCATACAACGAAGGGAACATAGCTATTTATAGGCAAAATCTAACATAAGACGATAAATGAAAAGTGAAAATGCAGTTGAGAGTTAGCCATCTTTGTGGAATTTAGTGACCACTTTTGACAAAATTGCACCAGCTTATTTGTAGTTTGCAGAGTGTAGTCTGAAATTTGCTGACTTGCAATCCTGGTGCACTTTCGTGGTGCTTCCCCCCGGTACAGTTTTGGTAAAGGGTGGAGCTCATCAATAAGGTTCTCCAAGTATTCTTGCCTCTTAGCATTTTTTTTAGCGAATTAGAACCGGAGTATGAAGAAGAATCGTGTGCAGAATTGGGGAAAGATAAGGTGACTTTGGGGAAAAAAAAACAGAAGGTCCCATGAAAAAAATTTTGTTGTCTAGTTGAACATACATATTTAATTGAGGTTCTTGTCTTATAATCCACCCTACAGGGAATTGCAAGATCAAAGCCATACAATTGCAAGATCAAAGCCATCCAAAAGGAGGGGGTGGTGGAACCAACATCGGGGTCCATCTTTTTAGATAATTCTGATTTTAATTTGTTACAGGATTCTAAAACAGTTTCTGTTGTTTAATTTAATTCATTTAAAAATACATAATCAGCCTATTGAAGTCCGTGCAAGCCACATTCAAAGAGTTTCTTCACCCATCGGCAAATCATGGTCCCTAATCATCTTCGTTATCCACGTCTCAGTAGTTCACATCATGCCGCGATAATAAAATTAAGAAATTCAACCCTTTGATTAAAAAAATTAAAAGTCTGGCTCCTGTATAATAAAAACAAAAAAGTTTGACCCGTACTAACTACGTTTACTATAAAACTTATGTGTAATTTTTATTTTTATTTTTTGAACAAGTGCAATTTTGAGGTAGGGAAAAGAATTAAACCCAGCTGAGGCTGGAGACACATAGAGTAAGATTACATGTATAAAACTTATGTGTAATTTGATGCTCTTCCTTTTTAAAATTGACAGAAAATCCTAAAAGTTAAAATATAACTTTAACGACGAAAAGGCCGCCAATTTTGAAGGCCATAACGGTCTTTTAATCTTTTCCTTCTGAGTCCAGACACTTCCTGTGTCGGAACTCCAAACAACAAACCCTATCGGCCGGAATCGAAAGCAGGAAAATGGAGTTTTCTGAAGCCAATTTCAAAACACTTCTTATGTTCGAGCACGCTCGTAAATTGGCTAATCCCTCTTGGTTCGAGTTATGCGTTGAATTAGTTAACCTTTTGAATATTTTGAGGAAACTTCACTCAATCTGGTAAGTTAGTTACGTAATTTATTCAATAGTAGCAATCCGTTTCAATTTACAATCATGTTAAGGTCAAAGTGCAATCAGCCAATATGATTCATTACTGAACTAGGTTACTGCAAGCTCCCCTTAATGTATAGTGTAGAATTGAGTTTTCCTTCTCTTTTTTCCTCTGCTCATAATTGATTTGAACTTATATACTTCCTTTATGTATGGAGTAGATGTGTTTTCATTCTCAGAAAGAAGCAAGAAGGGGCTTTGGCGTGATGGTTTGAGGAAGGCCTTGGCCTGATGCTGCAAACTTTGACTTTCTGCAGATGGACATGCATGATAAACTCAGTATATATATATATATATATATTGTCTGTGAATTGGTTATGAATTTTAGTTGATCATTTCTGAGATCTTCTGGTCGATTGGCTCAAGAGGTTACATGTAACCATGATGTAACATCTGTTTTTCTTGTTTTTAAGGCACCGTATATGCACAAGGAGATCCATAAGTCTGAAATTATTCAAGAGACTATCGAGCGGGGGGTCTTCTGCTTCCTCTACTGCAAATGTGAGACTTACAGATATTTGTTGTTTTTGTTATGCTTCCTACTGCTTTTTGCAAGTTATTTGTTTCAGTAATTCTTTTTGCCAAGCAAACACTGGTTCTTTATGTGATATAATTTGTTGCATTAAATTACAATTTCACAAGTTTATGCAGATGCAAGTTGCAAAAATACTTGTATGTTGTGTTGTCCCTTGTTGTGAAATAGATAAATAGTACATAACTTAAATGTAACTTTATTGTCAAACCTGTTTGTTCCCTTCATGAAAGCTTTCTCACTTCTCTGTCTAAAGTTATTTGTCTAAGCCCATAGACTGGACTGCCAATTCAAATCAACATTTCTATCACTTTGAATTTTGCACCAGACGTTGAAACAAAATTAAGGCTTTACAGATTCAGTAATATATAAATCATAAACCATAGTCATTAATTTTTTTTCTTTTTGTGAAATGTGATGCAAATTCATGCATGTCAGTAGGATTCAACCTTTGCAGACTTAGACTCAGACCAAAATTAAGACTTTACAGACTCAGTGATGTCTTGGCTTGACATGAATTAAGTTAACCCCCTATTCTTTGAAACAAAATGGTGAGACTCATAGCAGCTAATTTTGTCTCAATGCACATCTTATGTATAACATTCTTTAAGTACTTTAAGGATGATGTAGAAGCTTAGTTGTCTTTTAAACTGGCGGATGTGCATTTTCTTGAACAGTTTTGTGTACATTAGCCATAAATAAGTGGAAGCCTCCTAATACTTCAAAATTTTCACTGATGGCAATTTATCTTTATTTATATATTTTACTTTATAGTTGTCTAAGATTTTTTATTTTTTATTTTTTGATTACTTCAGAATTTCAAGAAGAAGAAGAAGAACAGCGATGTAAGGTATGACATCTTTGGATGGATAATCCTTGCTGTTAGAATTGTTGCATGGGTTTGAATAGCAAAATCTCAAATTCCTCCACCTCCTCCAAGATAAATTGTTAATTTGGTGCATCATTTGAGGTAACCATTCTGGTTATTAGGACAGAAGGTTCATAGTCTTTCATTTTAGTGTAATGTAGTAAATTGATGAATGTGGCTTGTTGTCACATGATAATATTGATTTCATTGTTTTTTTTTTTTTTCTTAAACAACTTTCTTAGGAAGATTATCAAGGATGTGAATTATGAATTTTATCAGTTAAGAACCAAGTTTTTTCTTTCATACTTTGGGACACTTGTTGGTTGATCTGCATCAGTAATTATTAATTCTAAACTGTGTACTCACAAATAGGCATGAAAGCTCGAGCTCAAGCTCTTTTTTTTTTTTTATTAAGCTCGATATTGGGCTCGAGCTCAACTTGGTTATCAAATGAGCCGAGCTTGAGTTGGGCGTGATTTGAGAGCTCACAAGGTACTCATGAACTACCCTACTCACTAACAGCTCTACTGTAAAGTTTTGAGAATATTTACAAATAACATCTGTAAGAGTCTGAGTTATTTAACTGACTTAATATAGAGAATCTAATCTTTTTCTCCTCTCCTGCTATATAGAGATAGTCTTTTCTTTCCTTTCTTTTGGTTGTTGTAATAGAAAAATTCTGGAAATCTCAATCAGAATTGAGGTGCAGTCTCTTTTGCATTTTGCCTTTTTCCTTCCTTTTGTGTATTGAAGGTAGATTGGATCATGGTCGGCAAATATCATTCTCAATAACACATTTTTTTTCTTTATATTTTTTTATATGGATCTGCAACTGATACTTGGTTTTCCTGTTGGGGATGAGGGTTTCTGTTTCATTCATATATAGCTGCTATACTTCACTCTTATTATCCTGCATTCTTTTATTATGGTAGTTCTCTCATATTTTCATTAATTCCTTGATCTATATATTGTTAAATGTTTATTTTAGCACTTATCTATGTAAATATGAATTATCAAATGGATCCTCAAGCTGAGAATTCAATAGGGGAATCATATTGAATTTCTTTGTTTTGTAGCTAGATTATTATTGATGGACTTTCGTGTACATCCTTAATGTTACTTGTAGACTAAATTGATGTAGTTGGTGAATATGGTTTTAACCTAGGATTAGATTAGATCACATTGGATTTCTTTGTTTTATGGCAAGATTATTATTGATGGACTTTCTTTCTCATTCATCTTTAATGTTTCTTATGGACTAAATTGACGAGGTTGGTGAATAAGGTTTTGAACTCACGGTCTAGGGCAGATCAATCTGGATGGAGCCATGCCTGGTCTTGTTCCCGTCTTTGTTTGAACTTTTCCTTGTTGTCTGAGCTAGAAGTTTAGGTCACTCAATATTTTCATGTTGACCAGCGTGGTTATCATTTCTATATCCTTCTAGCTTAATTAGAGCATATCTAGTATTCTCGATGCCTAGCAAATAGGTTTAGATGCATTCTTTCGCAGATTTCAATGTTGAAGATTTGAAGTTACCTTTTTTGCAATTCTTGCCTGTCTCTTACTTCTCCATGGGGGGATCCAATACTGTGGTAACAGTGCTTCTTTCCTAATTTAGTATGACAGACAGGTTCTTTAGCATCTCATATTTAATACAATCATTGCTGCCCAAAATTATGTTTGGATGTCTTGGCCATTGCATGTCAAACATTTTGGTATCTTATTATGTATCTACATTTAATGTCCACCACCCTTTATGTTTCTGTGATACAAAAAGAGAAAAAAAGAAAAGAAAAAAAAAAAAAAAAAAAAAAAAAAAGGGGAAAAAGAAGAAGAAGAATGTATACTTAGATTTGACCTATACGAACACTGGAAGGGTTTGAACCAACGGCCCCATCAAGCAGTTGGCACATCTAACATACCCTAGTTTTAGACCTCCTTTTTGTTATTGTTACAGGATTTATTGTCATTTCTTATGATCAGCAAGAAGA